AGGTCGCAGGTTCAACTCTTCGAGTTGACGTAGATATTATACACAGGTAAGTTGGGGAACTAGGGATCAAGCCCTGGGATCTGCCTCAGCTACCACGAATTGGTGAATACCGTTTCAACCCTGCGATAATTACGTTTCGAAGTGCTCTACAGCACTGAAGAGCAGTGTTCGTGCTTAATATACGTACGCACAAACATGAATACACAGACACACACCCCTGCACGTTTTCCAGTCTGCATCCGTCAGAACTCGAACTTATAGCGTTTGTACAACTGAGTCACATGGGTCGGGTATCTGCCTTCTGTCTCCATTCGTGTGACCCACTCTTCCCGGAGTGGCCCAGTTTGCGAATCTGCTTCACTTCTCTCACACTATCTTCTTAGCATCCTCACCCAGCAGCTCACGTCTCTGTACATCTCAAATGTCTCTATATATCTCATGTCTACAACCGCCGAATATCTCATTACTCTATATTCCAATAACCCATGCAGCATGCCTCGTGGAATGTCTGAGGGCCTCGCCAGGCCACCACTCAGACCCAGGCTGAAGGGGAGAAAAGACCCCTACACGGATGCAGGGCCTGAGCGGGCGACAGTTGACCAAAATCAACTACCCAAGGACCAACAATCAAAATCAAAATGGACCCATCCCAGGCCGTCGGTCAGACGCACACACTTGTTCGTATGCAGGTACCCAGACAGCATGAGGACCAAGTGGAAGTCTGCAACTATACACAATCCAGACCCTCGGTTGTGAGTCAATTTGTACGACTGTGGGAGGGAGACCTGAGGCCAGACTGCCTTGTCAAACACTACATAAGGCTTGGTCTTCAGGAGGTCAACATTCAGTCTTAAATGCTGCCTCGACGCTGGCTTGACTCTAGCTGGTCGCTGGCTCGACGCTGGCTGGATGCTGGCTTGACGCTGGCTGTGCACTGGTACTGTGGACAACGACGCAGGACTCTGGCAGCATGCTGGCGCCTTCTCTGCTAAGCGCCAGCCTCTGCTGATGTGGTGCGTGCCACCTGTCTTCATTGCTGATGTAGCGCATGCCACCTGTCTTCATTGCTGACTTGGCACATGTCACCTGTCTACATTGCTGATGTGGTGCAGGCCATCTGTCTTCATTGCTGACGTGGTGCATGCCACCTATGTATCCCCTGCGGCCTCGGCCGCAGGGTCCAATCACTGCGGCGGCCACATTTGTGGCCGCAGCCGCGGATGGCGCCCCCAATTCCAAGGCCGTGATTTTCACGGATTTTTGCTGGGCGAAATAAAACGTAAAAAAAAATTAACAAAATATGGGGTGTAGGGTTTTTCAAACCCTACAACCCCATATTTGTTTTTTTCCAAATTACATATTTTTCGGTGTAAAAAGAAATAAAAATCGGAAACTGCAAAAAAAACAAGAAAAAAAAAACGAAAACAAGATTTTCTCTTTTTTCTTTTTTTAAGCTGTGTGTGTGGGTGTGGGTGTGGGTGTGGGTGTGTGTGTGCAAGTGTGTACAGGGGGGTTGAGGGGGCCGACTCCCCTCCCACCAATCAATCAATCAATCAATCGGAAAAAGAAAAATGAAAAAAAAGTGCGCAATTGTGTGTGTGTGTGTGTGTGTGTGTGTGTGTGTGTGTGTGTGTGTGTGTGTGTGTGTGTGTTACAAATTATCACCACAACTTATTCCGCCCAGATGAGTAGATCCAAAGTCACAGCAACTTTACCTATATTGCAGACAATGAAGCATGCTCGAGATGAGCCAATCCACCAATGAGACAGTTTTGCTTGTGAAGTCAATATCTATTCAGAACCTTACCTTTAAACAGGCAATGCAACACGCTCGAGATAGGCCATCCCAACGGCAAAAAGAATACGAGACGCAGTACTTTTGTTAGTATGCTACATCGTTTTCTTGATTATTTTTTCATCAGCCAGCATTGGGAGGCCTCCCATGTTCTTGGTTTTTGCAGTTTCCCTCTTACTGTGCCTATCACTTACAAGGCTGGCCACGTTGATGATGGTTGAGTGCCAGCTGCCCATATCCCCGTGTGCCTTTACGGCCCGCTTGCACGTTATAAAAGGAGGCAGAGTAAAGGGGTAATTATATTTTGTCTGTTCTCTCAACGACACTCATTCATATGCAATTACTAGTACACAAGGAGAGGGAGTAGACAACAGGGAGGAGGACAAGAGAAAATGAGAGAGAGAGAGAGAGAGAGAGAGAGAGAGAGAGAGAGAGAGAGAGAGAGAGAGAGAGAGAGAGAGAGAGAGAGAGAGAGAGAGAGAGAGTGTTCAATAGGTTCTTTATACACACCGTTGGAGCAGAGAGAGAGAAAGAGTGTTCAATAGGTTCTTTATACACACCGTTGGAGCAGACGACTATAGAATGACACAAGAAATCAATCAGTGTTTGGGTTGCAGGATGAGTAGCTGTTGCCTATGGTAGGTGACCACTCCTACAGACCGGACAGCACCGATTTGGGTGCGGACTGTGGAAGCATCGCATCCAATTCTCGCAGTTGCAGTTGCTGCAACGAATGGCACGACATAAACATATATCACAAGCAACATGGCTCCCACAGGCAAGGAACACAGAGTCACGCCAACCGCAATTGTAGAGGCATTGCCGTTCGAGCCCCTGTCTACAAATTGGACATGACATGTCAGGGTGTCGGATGTGAGTGCAATATTGACTGTCATCATACGTATGAAAACAAAAAGACGCACGGGCTACGCCTTCATAATCCTCATGACACAATGCATGTTGCCCACATGCTAGCCGAGTCTCCGGTGGATCATCACAGAATGGCATTGAGCAAGTATTTTGAGTTTCCTCGGCATTGATTCCTTCTCTATGGACCGACGATGACAGCGGCGACTGTGGCATGAGGGGGTCATCCAAAACAAGGGTGTCTAGCTGCTGCAGGATTTGTTCTGCAAYAGTTCGTCCTGGTGGTGTTAGCCCTTCAGCACAGTGCTCTATAAGCGGCTCATGTGATACTCTATTTTCTTGCTCAGGCTGTTGAGTTTGCTGTTCGTCGGGCAGGAAAGAAGGAGATCCGATGGCGTTTGCAGTAATTGTATGCCCAACTCTGCATGTGGGACATGCTAAGAGAGGATGTGGTGGATGATGGCATTGTGGATAGTCCACGCAGTAGAGGCACATGCTTTCTATGACAGCTTCCTGGAAACATTGATGACACATGGCATGTTGCTGACATGTCAGCAGGAAGGCAGGCTGACGTTCGCAGCTATTTAAGCATGGCAGATTAAGGCCACGACGACATATTGGGCAGGCGATTAGGGGGTGGGGGGGATGAACACAAGACGAAGAGTTGCACTTTTCACGACAGAGGCTGGCAGTGACCATCCCTTCATAGTGTTCGGAGCAGAGACTATGCATTTTGCATGCTAACCGGACTGTGGCTGTGTGGCTACAGAATGGAAGGGCACAGCCATCATCTTCTAAGGAGGTTCTTTCATTGCCTAGAGCAGAATCTGCCCGATCTACACAGGGTGGGGACACTGCCTGGTCATGTGCACGGGAGGGAGGTAACTGCACATCCGGATTGGTCTCCAGAGACTGAAGCGCTTGCGGGTGCGGAGTAGCGTATTGTTCCTGAAGGATAATCCAAATTGAGTGAGTATTTGCTACTTGGTTATAGAAAGAGTTAATGCTACTTACCGTGTGCACCCTACCTCCATTGTCCCATAAGGCCCATGAATTGTCTGCATAGGTCACAGCGCTGAAATGTCCTGGCCGATGCAGGATGTATGCGCGAATATTTGGGTTCATGTCTGGCATGTGGTTTTGGGGAGCTGGCTGCAGTTGTAGTCTTCTACCCATAAACGCCATAGACAAGACCTCTATGTTCACTCCAGGACCAGTACTGTCATCCTCTGGGCAGACAGTACGGTGCTCTTCTTCTATCCAGCGAACAATATCAGCAAATTCAGAAACTGTGTAAGGGTTACAATTGTAAGCAAGGAGACTTACATTGATGGCACAGTACGCACAATAGCCTCGCTGCAGCATTATGAGATCATATGATTCTGCTGGTTGTGCGACAGGGGGCAGTTCATTCACTTCTGTGGATTGCACGGCAGGCAGAGATTCAATGTGATATTGATCGTTTCTATCAAGTTCCTCTGTTTGTGGAAACTGCATCGGCTCTAGCACACACTCCGGAGAGAGGTCATCTGCAGTCAGAGGCTCCATCAAATGATCAGAAGGTCGGTCATTGACTATTGGGGCTAGGGAACACGAGGGGTCAGGCGGGGGAGAAATGGGTGGGTGAGATATAGGTGGGTCAAATGTAGGTAATGGAGGGTGATCAGCCGCACTTGTAGTTAAGGTGGCTGCCAGTCGTGCAAAAGCTGCACAAGCGGCCGCACCCCTTGTCTAATGCACACGCAGGCCCGTAATGCTGAAGAAATCGTCACCACATTGTTGGCATCGAACTCGACACGCACTATTCCGGGCTAGTGTGTATTGAGCGCGACGCTGTCGTTCTGTATGATTGCGGGCATGGCGTCGGAGCAGATCTCGAACCCCTACAGGGGGCGCAGTGATTATACCATCCATGGATGAACGTGGTCGTTGTCTTGGGGACGGTGGTCGAGACGGGGAGCGCCTCCGCCGACGAAGTGTCTGCAACGACCGGTTCACTGGTAAATGCCTTGGATAAAGGGGTCGCCGCAACGGCTGATCTGACCAGGAATGTGTTGATAACGAAGATGATGAATCAGGCAAGGTAGAGGAGGAAGGGGAAGATGACGAAGAGGGTAGGGAAGAGGATGAAGAGAAGGAAGAGGAAGAAGACGAAGCAGAAGAAGGGGAGGAAGAAGCAGCAGAGGAGGGGTTAGATGATGGGGGCGATGATGTAGAAGAAGATGTCGACGGGGAGGGTGGTGGGGATGCCGGTGGCGATGGTCGCGGGGGTACTGGTGGTGGTGGCGGTGGCGGGGGAGGAGGTTGAGGTGGTGATGATGGTGGTGGTGGTGGTGGTGATGGCGACAGTAGTGGGGGAGGCAGCATTTCGACAACAATAGCCGCATTGATAGGATGCTGGCCTTCATCGCCTACAGCAACCTCAGCAAAGTATACGTTGCATGTCGTTGTTGGACCATTCTCTGGCTGGGCTGGCGTATCCACATTGGCGTTTGCCAGTTCAGCAGGAGTAACAGGAGGGGGTAGATCAGTTGTGTCATGTTGTGTGGAGGGTTGATGTCGCCTGCAGTCATAATTGGTGTTCGGGAGTGGGTGGTGGTCTGCTGCATGTGGTCGAGAGGAGGCTCTGTACGCCGAGTGTGCATCCGGCWGTGGGTGAGCGATAGCCCAGCGCACCATACGACGAAACCAGTTCGAGAGCCGTGTGACATGAGTGGGTAGTCGGCGCTGCCGGCCACGCACATATGTCGTCCAGCCTTTGGCCAGGACACTAGGGGGATGGCCCCTTAAAAGCATACGTCGCGTCAAGGAGGTCACTGCCACTTTGAAGTCGGTAGTATTATTACAAATATGTTCGAACCTCGTTAGTTGTCCTGTAAGTACACCTGCAGGCTGATGAGCTGGGATATTGGAGGACGCACTGGGATAACGTATGACAGGGAATGTCCAGGCCTCGGCCTTATCAAATACACCTATGCGAAGCAAGCCATCTGACCGCACTTGGATTCTTGCCCCAAGGAAAAGACATGAGCCATCTTGCTCAGTAGTGTCTTTCCACTCAAGCCCATACCGAGCAGGAGGGGGTGGGGATGTCTGCCAGGATAGAATGTCATCGATGAACCGATATGTGAATGCATATGCTTGCGCCGCTCGCAGGTCTTGCTGACGAAGTTCATCAACGAACTGTGCTTCATCCCAATAGAGCGTAAGATTGGCAATCTCTGGACCAGCATTAGTGCCCATAGGAATACCGACCACTTGATGGCGGAGAGTGCCGTCCGTTGTATACAGATAAGTATTTGAGACCACAAACCGCAGATGTTGTTCAATTTGTTGTGCTGAAAGAGTGTCTGTGCTATTTGAAGTAACCCATTCCCCGCGACGAGTGTGTGTGTGTGTGTGTGTGTGTGTGTGTGAGGGAGAGAGAAAGGGGACAGGTAAGTCTCCGACCTCGCGGCTGGCCTCATGGGACTTCCATCAACAGGATGAGCAAAATCGAGTGAATCTACCGCTAGAACATGGAAATATACAGTGCCACAATCGTCTTTTTGTTGCGCTGCAAGTGCTCGTGCGTGGGTGTATGTGTGTGTGTGTGTGTGTGTGTGTGTGTGTGTGTGTGTGTGTGTGTGTGTGTATGTGTGTGTGCAATGACTTGCCGTTTCCATGCTGCCTGTAGCCTCACTCTAACGAGGCTGTACTATAGTCAGGGGTAGATTCATAATTTTGTTGGCTGAGGGCTAACCGAGAGACCTGCCTGTGTGGAAAATCCGTGAGGGACATATCTGTAAGTATAGAAATATGGCCCCTGTACTAACCCGAATTTTCCTACAGCTACCCTAACTGCGAATAGCAGACCCGGGCTACCCCTAGGACAGACAAGCCCTATGGGCCTATGCTGATAGACGGTCCTATAGCCTATAGCCGGGTAGGGAGGGGCCCTGGAGGCCGAAACTGAAACGGTACCGGTCGGTCAGTCAGCCCAGTCTAGGTCGGTCTACGCTAGGGTAGAGTATAGGGAGGATGGGGACACCGGTCCAAGGCTTTTGGCAGTTGACATCCTGGTGGAAGTTGCTGCGCACACGGTATCAGGCCGTGGTTGCTGATTCCGGTGCTGGACACGGCGGACATAGTCGGACCTTCGGAGCGTTGACCGGACTGGGGTCAACGGTGTCCGCTCTGGCTCTCTGGGAGTCATAGCGGTCTGGGCTATCTGAGGTCTGATGCGTTGGAGCACGTGGTGCGGTCTCAGTGGCGATGCAGCCATAGCTGCATCTTCTCAGAGATATCATTGTTTGGACTTCATCTTCATCAGGGACTGCTAGCGCTGAGCTTCTTCTTCATCATCCGGATGGCGATTGGCTCTAAGAGCCTGTTTCACTTTGGCGCAGGCCACTGAGTTGGATGTCAGGGTGGCGCTGGGTGTTACCTGGGGTTTCGGTGCTATTTTTAGTTGTTCGGGGTGTTGGGGTTGAGGCGCTACCCCTCTTAGGGTAGCGCAACAGGGTTCTAAGGTTATTTAGTGAAAACGGTGCTCTGAGTTTAATAAACAGTTGCAATACTGTGTTGGAGTTGTCATCTCTCCATTGTTTTCTGGCTGTCGTCACTCGGTTGTCTTCTATGAATGATTGTTGGGAATTGTGTGGAGAGAATTCACTGTCTGTGTATTCTGTCACTTCGCTCCGCTGAGTCTTCCGCTGCGTTTCTTCCTGTTGGGCGGTGTGATACTCCACTGCCTCTCCCCTTCCTTCTGTGCATGTATGGGCGTGTACGGGAGTTCCTGTGAGTGAGTGCTGATCAAATTTCGGTAGACAATCATGTTCATAACAGTTGGTATCGGAGCAGATCGGACCCAGACAGTGGCGAGATGATGGATTGAGGCAGCCATCACTACCTGAGAGCTTTTGATGTAGGGTTTCATGGAGAAACTTCATCTTCAGTGTTGCACTCAGTAGGGTGTTGGTGAAGAGTGTGTGGCGAGTGGTATGACACAGGGATTGGTGGCGATTCCGTGCTCAGTGGCCTGGGAGGCACTGAGGGGCTATTTTTAGCCCAAGTGGTGACTCTGCTAGTGGCAAGATACCTGGGGGTATGTTGAGTTGCAAATCCTGGACCAGGTTCAGTGGATTTGGTTAGTGGGGATTATTCGCTATATCAAGAGCTTCATTATCACCAAGTTTCAGGAGATTTTGAATGTGGGAGCACCAGGAACAGTGGATGGAAGAAACTGGCGAGATGGCAACCATAGCCAGTTCAGCTTCTTCATGCAGTGTTTTGATCTGAAGTGAGTGTGTTCCTTACTCAAGTCCCTGTAGCGAGTCTCATGAGTGTAATTAGACTAGGGAAATAGTAGATGCATGTTTGTTGTCAATGAAATTGGAAAATTGCACTGCCTGACAGCCATAGCCTTTCTCCTACCTACCTACTTTGACTTCTACTGACTCTGTTTGACCTCCTTTCTGCCTCAATTTGCATCTCTGACTGTAATACAGTATTGCGATTCAGTATGCACTGTGAATTGAGTAGTTCAGGGTCTGGATGTCAGTGACAATGGAATTCTGAATGTTGCGCTGCCATAGCCAGTGCTTGGGGCAGCTAGGGTTTGTCATAACTTAGATTCTGTCCGTCAGAATTTCAATCTGTCAGTCACCCTGAAATCACAATTCAGTAATTAGTCAGTGTCTGAAAGCGCTATACTGGATTTGATGTTTTGAGTCAGGTACAGTGATATATGTACTTCACCTCACCTATAGTGGGGCATACAGGGTCATACAGTGCCAGTGTGAGTAGGAGTCTGAAAATAGCTTGTTCAGTCGCCCGCTGCGTCTTGGTTGACTACTGGGTTCTGGGGATTGCTACTAACTCTCTGTGCTATTCTGATCTGCCTACTTACAGTCCGAGGTTGCATCATGTCTATCTTTCTGACAGCGATTCTGGGGGTACTGACTCAGATGAGGGTTCTGGGCTGTGAATGAAAAATCGCAAATCTGGTTTTATCTGGTCTTGACCTAAACTGACCCATAACAGCCCTCAGCAACCTACAGAGGTTGAGCGCTTTTCTGCCTATAACACCACGTCTCTTCTCATCAGGTGGCAGTGATTACATTTGTGCGTGTGTGTGATCTTACTCTCTGCTTACCTCTTATCTGCCTGTTTATATTTATTTGACTGTGTGGGGTGTTGCAATATGTCCGAGGAGAAGAAGGAGGCAGAAACTTCTGCCCCCTCTAATCCTCCCCAGTCTCCTCTTTCCCCTCATTGCTGATTGCTGAGGAAGCTAGGCGAAAAGTTGATGAACAGATCGCCAATCTCAGGAAGGAGAAAGAGGAAGCTGAGGAGGCAGGGAAGCAGGAGGAGAGGAGGAGACAACTGCTGGTGGAGGTGCAGAAGGTTGTTGACAGTGGGACTGCAAGTGTGTACAATAAGAGCATTGCTGAGATGGTCATCTTGAATGACATCCCCAACAAATCTTATTTTTCCAACTGGGACCACCGGATCTCCGCTGTGGAGAGTCAGGGCTTTGCCATCGAACACAAGGTGGATCAGATGGCAAAGGACCTGACCTCTCTAGCAACAGGGAGAACAGAAGGCGCCCTTGTCAATGGTGAATGCTCGTGTAGTGTATTCTTCGTGCCTTACTGAGGCCTGCAGCACCTCAAGCTGCCCCTCCTAGCCCTCCACCTGTACAGCCAGTTGGCCAGCTGATCACCCGGACAGCGGGTTCACCACCTCACAGTCGTCCAGCCTCACCTTCTGGTTCCCATGTATCCACCCCCTCTGTTGCTTCTGGTACATCGGTGCAGCGAGGGCCCAAGCTGACACCACCTCCTATGTATTCTTGGGAAGACCCCAAGGTGGATGTGTCAGACTGGGTCACCTCTATGCAGGCATATCTGGGCAGCTTTACATGCCCAGAAGCAACAAAGGTGGGAACCATTCTTGGCCGGTTTGAGAGGACTGCACTGAAATGGTGCACCTCCTTTGCAACCAAAGAGAATATTGCTATGGATAGATGGGCACAACAGCTGGGGGTGGCAGGGTTGCTGAAGGCGCTGCAGGACCGGTTTGCTGACAGGGAGCAGGCCCGCAAAGCAGCTGATAAAATTATGTTGCTGGGGTCTCACAGATTTGAGGGCTCCCTGTCCAAGCTCTACAGCCTATTTGAGAGCTTGACATCGACACCAGGTCTGGAGATGAGTGAGTCTGACCAGCTCTTCCACTTCCTGCGTGCAGCACCTCCAGACTACTCCATTGCTTTGTATGCTCAGGGCCACAAGGACTGGAGGTCCTTTGGCAAAGCGGCACTGGACCTAGAGTCTCGGCTCAAGGTTCAGACTCCTTCTGAAGGAAATAAGAGGCCTACCTCCCAGGGACAGCGCAGGAGGAAAGGTGCTCTGTTGGCTGCTGATGGAGGTTCTGATTCCGATGCATCTCAGCGTGGCAGTCCTCCATCTGAGACTGCCTCAGCATCAGCAGTTGAGCCAGCCGTTCTTGCCCTGGCTGAGAATCTTGCTGCAATGTTCAAGGGAAAGTTCAGCAAGGCCAGCAGCAAGGGTTCAGCCAGCCAGAAGGGGAAAGGGAAGGGACGTGCCTCTTCCCCTCAGGCCCAAAGACCTAACCTTCCACGAGACGTCCATTGGTCAGTCAACGTCATGGATCCTTCCACCCTTCCCTGGAGAGCGCTCAGGATCCAGGAAGGGCAATGGCAGAGGAGGAAGGACCGTGAGGTTTGTTTTCGCTGCGAGGGGGACCACTTCCTAAAGGACTGTCCCCACATGCCTTGCAGACCTGGTTCTAGTCCAAAAAACTAGACCAGCAGAGGGAAGTGGAGTCTGCAGCTCCCTCCACTCATGCTGAATCAGACTCTGATGGATCTGATTCTGCATCCACCCTCACTCACTCTGTTGTTGGAGTTGTTGCGTCAGGATCCTTCACTTGCATGAACCCACCTGGATGAGACGTGGCAGGAAGATGATAGTCAGACTTTTGCTGATCTTTTCCTGTCTTTGCAGGAGAAGAAAAAGCATAAATCAGACCTCATCTTGCTGCGACCCTCTATTTTGGGAACCAAAATCAAGGGTCTGTTAGACTGTGGGGCTACCCGGAACTTCATCTCTCCCAAAGCTGTCAGCAAGCTGCATCTGGATGGGAGATTGGTGAAGTTGCAGCAGCCGTTAGAAGTTCGACTTGGGAACTCCTCCACAGTCCGGATTACTTCTGCTGTCAAGAACCTACCGGTCATCTTTGACAAGCAGGAGAAGGTCAGGCAGCGCCTGAACTTCTATGTGTTTCCTAATGTACCCTTTGATCTTGTGTTTTCCATGCAGTGGCTTGAGGCCACTAACCCTAGGATCGACTGGCAGATCCCTAGGGTAGAGCTCCCTGAGTGCAGAGGAGACTATCAGCCTTGTGTCCTGGCTAATGAGTATCATCCAGTCAGCAACTGCTATTGTATGAGGGCACACGAGTTTTTTCAGCTCTCTCGCCAGACTGCCCACACACGTCTGTTCGTTGCATATGCGAAACAGACTGGTGTGGACGTTGCTCCCTGTCCCTCACCGATTCAACAGGTTTTTGACTCGTATCCAGACCTGATGCAGGAGCCTACTGAACTTGTCCATAGGGAGACCCAGCACAGGATTGAGCTCCTGCCAGGTGCGGTCCCTCCCAAGGGCCATGTCTATAGGATGTCACCTGCTGAGCTCGATGAGCTCAGGAGACGGCTTGAGACCCTAACCAACAAGGTTTGGATCAAACCCAACACATCTGAATTTGGGGCTCCAGTTCTCTTTGTTCCAAAGGGAATTGGGGAGTTCAGAATGTGTGTGGACTACAGGGGTCTCAACAAAATCACTAGGAAGTCTACAGAGCCCCTTCCTAGGATTGATGATCTGTTGGACATGGTGCAGGGTTGTACAATCTTCAGCAAGATCGACCTCAAATCTGACTACCACCAAATTGAGATGGTTGAGGGCGATGTCCCCAAGACTGCCTTCAAGACTAGATACGGCACCTACGAGTACCTGGTCATGCCTTTCGGTCTTTGCAATGCCCCTGGCACATTCCAGGCAGAGATGCATCGCATACTCAGGCCTTACCTGGACAGGTTTGTAGTTGTATACCTGGATGATATCTGGGTATTCAGTCGATCTGTCGAGGAGCATGCGCAGCATCTGGCTCTAGTTCTCCAAGCACTACATGAGGCCCAGTATAAGATCAACAGGGAAAAGTCCTCCTTTGGAGTGACTTCTGTGACTTATCTGGGACATGTAATCTCTGGGGAAGGGTTGGCTCCTGAAGCGCCTTAGATAGCAGCGATTCAAGACTGGCCACAGCCCACTACGGTTCGTGATGTCCGGTTATTTTTGGGTTTGGCGTCATAGTACAGGAAGTTCGTCAATAACTTCTCTGCTATTGCTGCACCCCTGACTGATCTTACAAAGAAAGACACACACTTTCTTTGGACATCAGACTGTCAACACGCTTTCACACGCCTCAAGGAGGCCTTGATGCGTGCACCTGTTCTGAAGCTACCTGACCCTACCTTGCCTTTCGTACTAACTACTGATGCTAGTCAGTATGGGGTTGGGGCGGTACTTCAGCAGGATGGTGGGCATGGTCTGCAGCCAGTTGAGTATATGAGTAAGAAGATCAAAGTCAAGAAGCTGCAGGATTCTACGTACGAGAAAAAGCTCTATGCTCTAGTGTCAGCGCTAAAGCATTGGAAGCACTTCCTCATGGGCAGGCACTTCCAGATCTATTATGATCACTCCACCTTGCAGTGGATGAAGACCCAAGGGGAACTGAATGACAAGCTCGCGCGCTATATTCAGTTCATTGATCTCCTTAACTTTGAACTGAAACACAAGAAGGGCTGCTACAATCGCGTAGCAGACGCCCTTTCTCGTAGGCCTGACGTTGTCTGTATGATCTCCTCTACTCATACCTTTGGGGAGAGTACCCGTCAGACCATTGCCCAACTATTGCCACAGGACCCGACTTTTGGCCCGATCGTTAGGAATCTGCAGACTGATCCTGCCTCTGAACCAGGATGTATTCTGGTCTCAGATCTGCTGTACATTTGCAGCAGAGGAGAGGAGCGTTTGTGCATCCCTGAGGACCGCCAACTGAGAACACTCATGATGTTTGAGAGTCATGATGCTCGCGACCATTTTGGGGCCTTAAAGTCGTTGGCTGCCCTGTCGCAACGATTCTTCTGGCCAGAGATGAGGAAAGACATGCTGCACTACGTTGAAACCTGTGAGTTGTGCCAAAGGAGAAAGGTCGTTCACCGACCTCCCCTTGGCCTGTTACAACCACTTCCCATTCCTGAGGCACCCGCAAAGTCAGTGTCTATTGATTTCGTTGATCTGGGGAGGACTACTCCTCGTGGTATGCGTCAGATTACGGTGTGTGTTGACAGGTTCTCTAAGTATGCAGAGTTTATTCCTCTGCCAGAGGAAGCCAGAGTCCCAGCCGTACGAGCGGCTTTTGCTGACAAGTGGGTTACTCATCATGGACCACCCACCTCTATTGTCAGTGATAGAGATCCGCGGTTCTGCAGCAATGAATGACAGTCCTCTTGCAAGGACTACCTTCATTCTAGGTTGAACATGACATCTGGTCATCATCCTGAAGCCAATGGGCAGGCTGAAGTGATGAACCAGATTCTGTTTCAGTTGCTGCTTCCTGTGATCAGCCCTGATCAACAAGATTGGAATCTCCATCTAGGACGGGCACAGCTAGTGTACAATATGTTTGTACACTCCTCCACAGGGTTCACCCCTTACCGGTTGCACTCGGGACGTGAACCACAGCAACCTCTCGATGACATCATCGATAAGGCTACTCCCAGACCGACTCCTGGAACTGCAGAGTTCACCAAACAGTACCAGAGGGATATCGAACGAGCTAGAGTTAACCTGCTCAAAGCTTAAAAGGCTATGATCCAGCAGGCTAACAAGCGTCGTCGTCCATCCCCCATTCGCGCTGGTGACTGGATCTGAGTACTCAGCTCTGAGTTATCGGGGGAGGAGGACATTTCGCCTAAGCTGTTGCTGCGTTATATGGGTCCATGGCAGGTTTTAGATACAGTGGGTGCTGACCCGTTCGGGCCATCCTATCACGTAGATGTCCCACTTCATCTACAAAGCTACCTTGTCTTCCATGCATCTAAACTGCTGCCGTTTACGCTAGCTGATGCATTCCCAGACAGGCCTCCACAGTTCGGTCCCCCTATCCCTGGGAAGGGATATGAGGTGGAAGAAGTTGTGGATGAGTATGGTATAGGCATGGATAAGGAGTACCTTGTGAAGTTCCTTTACCAGCCCCATACAGAGGACCGCTAGTTCACTCGCAAGAAGCTCCTGAAAACAGCAAAGTCGATTATCCTCAAATATGAGGCTGCGCAGAAGGGAGAGCCCCTTCGACGCTCTGCATGCCTACGCCCCTAGCTCGGAGGTCCTCGCTCCGAGGGAGGGTAGGTCTGCAATGACTTGTCGTTTCCATGCTGCCTGTAGCCTCACTCTAACGAGGCTGTACTATAGTCAGGGGTAGATTCGTAATTTTGTTGGTTATCTGTAAATATAGAAATATGGCCCCTGTACTAACCCGAATTTTCCGGCAGCTACCCTAACTGCGAATAGCAGACCCGCCTAGGACAGACAGGCCCTATGGGCCTATGCTGATAGATGGTCCTATGGCCTATAGCCGGGTAGGGAGAGGCCCTGGAGGCCGAAACTGAAATGGTACCGGTCTGTCAGTCAGCCCAGTCTAGGTCGGTCTAGGCTAGGGTAGAGTATAGGGAGGATGGGGACACCGGTCCAAGGCTTTTGGCAGTTGACACTTCGTGGTGGAAGTTGCTGCGCACACGGTATCAGGCCGTGGTTGCTGATTCCGGTGCTGACACGGCGGACATAGCCGGACCTTCGGAGCGTTGACCGAACTGGGGTCAACGCTGTCCGCTCTGGCTCTCTGGGAGTCATAGGTCTGATGCGTTGGAGCACGTGGTGCACTGCTGACCCTCCTCAGGAGTAGGGTCCCAGTGGCGATGCAGCCATAGCAGCATCTTCTCAGAGATATCATCGTCTAGACTTCATCTTCGTCGGGGACTGCTAGCGTTGAGCTTCTTCTTCATCATCTGGATGGCGATTGGCTCTGGGAGCCTGTTTCACTTTGGCGCAGGCCACTGAGTTGGATGTCAGGGTGGCGCTGGGTGTTACCTGGGGTTTCGGTGCTATTTTTAGTTGTTCAGGGTGTTGGGGTTGAGGCGCTACCCCTCAGAGGGTAGCGCAACAGGGTTCTGAGGTTATTCAGTGAAAACGGTGCTCTGAGTTTAATGAACAGTTGCAATAATGTGTTGGAGTTGTCATCTCTCCATTGTTTTCTGGCTGTGGTCACTCGGTTGTCTTCTATGAATGATTGTTGGGAATTGTGTGGAGAGAATGCACTGTCTGTGTATTCTGTCACTTCGCTCCGCTGAGTCTTCCGCTACGTTTCTTCCTGTTGGGCGGTGTCATACTCCACTGCCTCTCCCCTTCCTTCTGTGCATGTATGGGCGTGTACGGGAGTTCCTGTGAGTGAGTGCTGATCAAATTTCGGCAGACAATCATGTTCATAACATGTGCGTGCGTGTGTGTGTGTGTGTGTGTGTGTGTGTGTGTGTGTGAGAGAGAGAGAGAGAGAGAGAGAGAGAGAGAGAGAGAGCAAGTAAGTCTCCAACCTCGCGGCTGGCCTCATGGTACTTCCATGGATAGGATGAGCA